GAGAACGACACCTGTTTATTGTCATACAGCCTCACAGATTCACTTTAGAGCCCACAGATTGGTCTGATACCTTTTGAATATTCTTCAGCTCAGGTGAGGAAGATTACATAGCCATAGGCAGCTTAATATCAGGGTCTTGGAACCTGACGTTTAGGGTGTGAGAGAATGTTTGGTCAGCCAAGTGAGAAGACATAGTTCTAGCCTCCATTCACTAGAATTTAATGCAAAGGTTTCATGGTATAAGTATTGCATGGTGCAGGTGAAGAGGAGACATGGCAGTGGGAGAGATGGGAGTTTACATGGTGTCTATTGTGGGAGTTTAGAAATTTGAGTATAAATCGCTAAGCTCTAAGAAGGGAAAACAGAGCGATTAGGTTTCTACAAAAAATGTAATTAGTTCTTTAGTGACCATTAGGGAAGGAAATCTGCAATCCTGAATAACTCTCAGTAAATCTAAGGTGTAGATAGATATTTAAACAGTAACAGTTGAAAGATTATGGAGGTGGGCAGGAAAGTGGAGTTGAGGCCAAGATGAGATCAGCCATGATCGTATTAAATGGTGGAGCGGACTCAAGGGGCTGAATGGCCTCTTCCTGCTCCACATTCTTATGTTCTTACCCAGTCCGGTCCCCATCTGACTCCGTACCAGTGTGACTGTCTTCAAACTGTTTTCTGAAGGTCCACCACCACACCCTCATGAATTAGGGATGGGAAACAAATGATGATCCTCAAAATGAATAAAAACATGAAGTCAAGTGATTCTGTTACAGTCCAGCATTATCTAGTGATATCACACAGCACTGTGAGAGTCCGTGACCCAGGGCAGCTCAGTCTCATTATCTAGATTGCAGCAATAAACAGTGCTACAGCTTTCATAGTTTACTTGTTGTGATATTGTCTAGTTGCCTTCACTATGATACAGGTTATTACCCTGTCAGAGGAGTAATGCCTCACCCATCTTGCATCAATTTTAGTAAAAGGGTGGAGCTTGGATTTAAAACCTCAGGGGATTCCTGCTGGGAGCTCTTCACTTCTCAAATATTCCTCTGCAATAAGTGTTTGAAAGGGGGACACTGAAGAGAGGAAATCTGACTCACTGACAAGGGCAGGCACTAGTGCTACTGTCCTAACACAAGTTCAGAGCTGCAGAGAAGAAAGGCTGGACCTCAGGAAAGAATATATAAAGGTAAGAATATTTTGTAAAACATATAAATATATTTTAATAACACAATAAACATTCAGTATCTTCCCACAACTTGTGGTTAATATAAGATATAGTCAGCTATCCCTGATACCATCCTTTTCAGAGTTCTTTTCAGAACTGAGGAAAGGTCACTGGACCCGAAATGTTAACTCTGATTTTTCCTCACAAATGTTACCAGACCTGCTGAGCTTTTCCAGCAACTTCTGCTTTTGTTTCTGATTTATAGCATCTGCAGTTCTTTTGGTTTTTATTTACTCTGAACACATCCTGTCAGGTTCATTAAAACTGAAACAAGCAAGAGAGATTCAGGAAGAAAGAGAGATATACACACAGACTGTGTGTGTAAGAGACAGAAACACATACACAGACACTGAGAGATGGAGAGACACAGTGAGAAAGACAGACATACACACACACTGAGACAGAGAGACACATACGCACAGAGCATGTATGAGTGAGAGACATACTCACACTGAGAGAAAGACAATGAAAGACATGGAAACACATGGTGAGAGAGACACAGAGAGAGACACACATACAAGCTGTGAGAGAAAGTAAGTGAAAGATAGTGGGAAAACAATACAGAGAAAAAGACTCACAGCAAAAGACCCACACAGAGTGACATAGACATACAACAGAGAGAGAGAGAGGGTGGGAGAGAGAAAGGGACCATTGCTATTTGTTATCTACATTAATGACTTGGATATAAATGCAGAAGGTAAAATTAATAAGTTTGCAGATGACATGAAAATTGATGGTGTTATTGGTCATGAGGAGGATGGTCTCAGGTCACAGTCTGATATTGATCAGCTGGTAAATTGGGCAGAGTAATGGCAGATGGAATTTAATCCTGATAAGTGTGAGGTGATGCATTTTGGATGGTGTAATAACGGAAGGACTTACACAATGATTGGTAGGGCCCCAGGGAGCACTGAGGAACAAAGGGACCTTGGTGTATAAGCTGAAGGTATCAGCACAGGTAGACAGGATGGTGGAGAAGACATATAGGATGCTCGTCTTCATTAGCTGGGGCATAGAATGTAGGAGCAGGGAAGTATTGTTACAAGTTTATAAAACATTATTTAGATGACAGCTGGAATATTGTATGCAGTTCTGGTCACAACACTATTGGAAGGACATGATTACACTGGAGAAGGTGCAAAGGAGATTCACCAGGATGTTGCCGGAGATGAAAAGTCTCAGTTGTGAGGTGAAACTGGATAGGGCTGGGTTTGTTTTCCCTGGAGCAGAGGAGGCAGAGGGGGATCTGATTGAGGAATACAACACTATGAGAGGCATAGACAGAGTGGGTTGTGAGAATCTCTTCCCCACAGCAGATATGTCTAAGACCAGACAGCGTCAGTTTAAGGTGGTTTAGAGGAGATCTGAGAAAGATTTTTTGCACCAAGAGGTTGATAGAAATATGGAACGTGCTGCGTGAGAGGGTGGTGGGGTAGGTACTCTCACAACATTTAAGAAGCATCTGGATGAGCATTTAAAATGCCAATGCCAGGACATAGTCTGCAATGGACCAAGTGCAGATAAAAGGGATTAGGGTAGTTTGGTGTTCATTGGTCAGAATAGAGATGGTGGACTGAAGGGCCTGTTTCTATGCTGTATGACTCTGTGACATGGGACTGAAAGAGAAAGAGAGACGACAGAGAGGGAGAGAGAGAGAGAGACACGGAGACACACAATAGAAAGGCATTAAACAATCACTGAACTGTGAGAGAAAGACAGGAGATAGAAGCAGCAGAAATAGAGAGTTGGGGGGGTGGGGGTGGTGGTCAGTCAGGATTTGAAACTGCAGAAGCTGAAAGTGAACCAGTAAAGAGTGAAACACCAACAACTTCAACCAGAGAAGGAAAGGCAGGTATCTAGAAATTGTCAATAACCTTTATCAAAGAGATTGGACCCTAAAGTTATCCGCTATTCCTTCTCTTTTACACCCAGAATACATGCACCTCACCAAGGGCAGGAACAAATTAGTCAACAAGAAACGGGGATAGAAGAGAGAGAGTGAAACAGACTGTTTCCTCTTTTCGTTAAGAATGTCAAAGTTAATTTAGAAACAATGGAGGTCATTCAAGATCAATTGCTCAGCATCAAGTTAATTCAGCCATTTAATTAGAACATGATTCATCTGTGTTTAAACTCTGTCTTTCCTTGATAGCTAAATCCAATTGACTACACTTTAAAGGTACATTTCAGTGGGACTTTGAAGATCCAGAGGTTGTGAAAGGTGCTACATAAACGTAAGTCTTCTTTTAGTGTTGAAAACTCCACTTGTCTGTCAGCACCTATGGAGACTGACAGTCTTCACTATATTTAATGTGAAACAAATTCTCCCCTAAATGCCCTGAATCTAATTCGAAGGTTATTCAGAATTTCCCTGTCAGAGGAAATGGTTTCCCACATTTCCTGAAAGAGTTGCTCAGTAAACTTAAATTGCCGCTGCACAATTTTCCCTGTCCTGGAACCCTCCGACAGAATCTATTTTACATTGGAAACTACGAGCAGTTCTGATGAAATTGTGTAAATAGTTACATAGGGAAGGTTAGATTGTTAATTTTCTTTTATTTATTAACAAGGGCGTCACTGGCCAGGCAGCATTTATTATCCATCCCTAATTGCCCAGAGGGCAGTTAAGAGTCAACTACATTGCCATGGGTCTGGAGTCACATATAGGCCAGACTAGGTAAGGATGGCAGTTTCCTTCCCCGAAAAGACATTGGTGAACCAGGTGGGTTTTCCAACAATCGACAATGGATTCACAGTCGTTATTAGATTCTTAATTCCAGATATTTATTGAATTCAAATTCAACCATCTGCCATGGCGGGGATTCAAACCTGGGTCCCCGGAGTCACAGTCCAGCGATAATACCACGAGGCCATTGCCTGCCCTGAATACATCAGCTAATCCTGAGTAACTATTCAACTGACCCCATTCTTACCTCACGTCCCCAAACTCACCCCCTCAACCTGACACCCACTCTCCCCCCAAGACCCATCTCAACTCCCTCCTGCACCCCCCCACCACAGACCTGACCCAGAAACTTCTGCCCTGCTGGACCTGACCCAAACTAATCACCCTGTTGGGATCCACCTGCCAAAGCCACCATAATTCTCCCTACCCTTATCCCCCAGAACCATCCCAATAGCCCCTCCCTCACCCCCCAGAACCATCCCAATTACCCCTCCCCCCATCTCCTGAATCATCCCAATTCCCCTGCCCCCAGAACCATCCTAATTTCCCCTCCCTCGTCCCCCAGAACCATCCCAATTCCACCTCCCCCCATCTCCTGAATCATCCCAGGTCCCCCTCTCCTCATCCCACTGAGCCACACCAATTGGGGTAGTCCAAAACTAGAGGGCATAGGTTTAAGGTGAGAGGGGAAAGACTTAAAAGGGACCTTAGGGACAACTTTTTCACACAGGGTAGTACATGCTTGGAATGAGCTGCCAGAGGACGTGGTGGATGCTGGTACAATTACAACATTTAAAAGGCATTTGGATCAGACTATAAATAGGAAGGGTTTAGAGGGATATGGGCCAAATGCTGGCAAATGGGACCAGATTAATTCAGAATATCTGGTCAGCATGGATGAGTTGGGCCAAAGGGTCTATTTCCATGCTGTACAACTCTGTGACACTATGACTCCATGACTGATGGAATTTGTTGATATTTGGACAGAATAATTAGTGCAATTCAAACCTAAATCCCAACTGTTTCCTTTTCAGAGACTCCTTTTGAAAGCATTGTCCCTCCACCAGAACATTCATCCCAGAATCCAACATGGCCACTGACAAAGAACTTGAGCAAGCTGCTGCAGAGCTCAAGGCTAACATGGACAATGCAAAGATTGCAATGGAAGTGTTTCAGGACAGAGCGAGGTTTGCGACTGTATCCGGTGTCTTAAAACCCATCTTCCAGGTGGCTGGTATTATTCTGAAACTGGCTTTAGGGAAACGTGAGAGTGAGGAGCTTACATATATGAAGGAGCAGTTCCAGATAGTCAGGAACCAGCTGGATGTCATTTCAGATCAGGTTAAGCAAGTGCTTTGGGAGATAGAGAAAAGTACAATTAATAATCAGTACTTCCCCATTGAAGAGAACCTGAAAAACCAGTTCAGGAAGTACATGGACATCCTGAATGCAGCACCGGAATTCCGGGAGAATGAGAAACAAGAGTTCCTCACACACTTTGATGTGACTAAAGGTGACCAGAACCTTCACACTCTCTTTGATGCAGTGATGGGATATTCTGCCATCTTTGGCAAACCCATTCTGGAAACTGCCATGAAATATGACCAGAGGAATCGGCGTCTGATGGAAAGTCTCTGCTCCCGTCTCAAGGAGCTCTTCTGCATTGGCCTGATTGCCCTGGTGGGTCACTCCACTATCACTGGGACTGATGTAGAGGCATTGAAGAGAGAGTGGAATGAGAAAATTGCCAAAGTAGAAAATAAAATGAAATCCATGATAGATCAGTGCATCAATGAGTTTGCTGAACAGGCAGAAATGGATGTTGAGGCTCTTATAAAGAACAAAGGTGAGAGAGATAACAAGGGATGTGCAACATATATAATTGAGGCTTTAGCAGAGAAATATGACTGGGTTAAATGGTCTGTTCGAGTCTATGACCCTGTCTCTGGCTTTGACAATCACTGTGTCATTGGCCCCAATCGATTTCACTTTTTCAGACTCAATGGGGTTAATGCTGTTGTCTCCTATGCAATTGATCCAAAGATTTCACTTAATGAGGTGGAAATCAGGCAGTTAATGGAGGGGAAAGATGGCTGGACTGATGCAAGAGAGGTTGCTAAACATGTGTACAATAACCTTCCCTCTGGGCATGTTGTACACACAGTGAGACGCTACAAGGACTTGTGGCTTCACAAGAACTTTCCGAACAATTGTCATTTCTGGGAAACGTACAGTGGAGTCACTCTGTGTGTCCACTCCACTTAAACCCCATGCTCAAATGCAGAGGTGGCTGGGAAACAATTGACTTTTGATTTTTGAATGAGATTTCTTAATGTCTATTAACAGAATTGTAATTTGTCAAATAGATTGGCTTTTGGATCTGTTTATTGGTAATGCAAGATGAATGGGGAGTTAAATAAAGAGATAAAACTGATTAAAAATACTTGCTAAAATTACCTATAGCAACTCTTACTTCAGATATAGATGATCCATTGCATTCTAGTTCATCCTTGGCAAAATAAACTGGATCTGCATTTGTTTAAATCTTCAAAAGTCCAACGCCATAGTCAAGTGGTTAACTCAGGCTATGTAAATGTAGAGAGAAAGGGTGAAAGGATCTTGTGTTAGGATGTCGGGTTGATCCATAGGAAAAGGACAGTTTTGTTGAAACTAGCAGCTGTTTCATCCTCAGGATGTGATTAAATTTTGTCCCCGGAAGCTTCAGGACTAGTACTATAGGTCTTAGAGCAAACCAGAACTAATCTGGATATTGACATTCAGCTTAAGTGCTAGCATGGATCCTGAGCCAGCAGAATCCCATGGCTGGAGTCTGGATTTTTCTACATAGAAGATCAGTACATTATCTCTGAACCTGAACTTTAAGATCTGACAGGACTCTCCACAGCAAATATCTGCAGAAACTGGGACTTGTCAAATGGATTGGATCTTCTTGGGTTTAGAACTCTCTGGCTCAGTCAAATTCCAACAACCATCAATCCATCACAATAATAGCTCACTGGGTTTATTTCAGTAAAGCTTGAATGATGTTCCACGCTCAGTGCTATACAATGGCTATTTGACTGATTTTATAAACCATACATCTCCAAAAGCTTTTCCAGTTGTCACCCAATCTTATCCCGGTGTTAACTTGCAATTCATGAAGAACGGAGTGACTGAGGGAAGATATAAAATTATTTAAATTATACAAAGGAGATGGTTCCACTGCACAATATTACCCAATACATTCTGGTACAGTTGAATAAAAAAAATTATTACAACAACTCACTCATTTACCAAAGGTCCTCAGACAGCACCTTCCAAACCCATGACCACTTCCACCTAGAAGGACAACGGCAGCAGATACATGGGAACACCACCACCTCCAAGTTCCCGTCCATCCTGACTTGGAAATATATCGCCGTTCCTTCACTGTCACTGGGTCAAAATCCTGGAATTCGCTCCCCAATGGCATTGTGGGTCAACCTACATTAGGAGGACTGCAGCGGTTCAAGAAGGCAGCTCACCCTCACCTTCTCAAGGGGCAACTAGGGATGGGTAAGAAATGCTGGCCAGCCAGTGACACCCACATCCCACAAATGAATAGAAAAAAAATGCAATGATGGTGCTTTCATTTCTGATTAATAAACCTGGAATAATCTCATGTCTGTAACTTAGTGTGTAATATTAAAGTTCCCTCTGTAACAGCAACATTCACTGATTTACATTTTTTTGTGCTCTTCCAGTGTATTGTTGTAATTACTGAGGTTTGTGTAAACTGATTGGAACTGTTGAAATAAAGTTGGCTCTGACTGTTGACTGTAATGATATGCTGAATAAACTCAGACAGATAACAGGGTCTGACTGTTTGAGGTTTTCTTTCTCTATTCTATACGTTGCCTCAGTCGTCACTTCAGTCACACACCAAGATGGCGATGGCTTAAACATGATATGATAAATCCAATGTCAGATAATATAACTATAAAACCATAAGAAATAGGAACGGGAGTAGGCCATTCGACCCCTCGAATCTACTTCTCCATTCCACAGGATCATGGCTGATCCGTCATTCCTCACGTCCACTTTCCTGCCCTTTTCCCCAAAATCGTTGATTCCCCGACTGATCAAGAATCTGTCGATCTCAGCCTTAAATATACACAAGGTCTCTGCCCCCACAGCTCTCTGTGGCAAGGAGTTCCAAAGACTCACGACCCTTGGGGAGAAGAAATTCCTCCCCATCTCAGTCTTCAATTGATGCCCCTTTATTCTGAGATTCTGGTCCTAGACTCTCCCATGAAGGGAAACATCCTCTCAGCATTTACCCTGTCAGGCCCCTAAAGAATCCTGTATGTTTCAATAGATCACCTCTCATTCTTCTAAACTCCAGTGAGTAGAGTCCCGACTTGTTTAATCTTTGCTCATAAGATAATCCCTCGATGCCAGGGATCATCTGAGTGAACCTTCTCTGAACTGCCTTCCATGGAATAATATCTCTGACATCCAAGGAGCTCTTGCTTAGGGTGCTTATACTCCCTATTTAAGGAAATATTCTTGGTTTGTAGCTAAACCGTCTCTGCTTTGAAGAACTGGCTTTGCTGATCCATTAAGATTCCAACCTGTTTTTTTTTGTTTCTAGTTTGTCTGTTGGAATGCAGATCCTTTCCCAAATCGCTGAAATTGTCTTGATTCTTGTTGAGTACTTCACCTTCAGTTTTTCTTTATTTCTACCTTAGAACAAATTATATTATGATTAAATGTTGCCTAGCTGTCTCTCACAAAACCACACTGCACTGGACCTGTATAATTTTGCACAAGAACCATCAAAGGTTTCTCATTGGGCGAGAAAGATATTGATTCTGAAAACTCCCTTTTACACCTTCTGGCTCTAACTTATTCTTCCTGGTATTTACTCTTAGTGCTTTCTCTCCAATCTTTCAAAGTACTTGCAATCTCTTAGTATCACTGCTATTATTTTGCTCCGAGATGTGTATATAGAATTAATCTCTCTTCCAGCCATTTGGAGGTATATAGTCAGCAGAAATGTGATACCTACTTCTATCTTTCATAAGACCAAATAACGTAGGAGCAGAAATAGACAATTCAGCCCATTCAAGTTGCCCTGTCATTCAATGAGATCATGACTGATCTGATCATCTTCAATTCCACTTCCCTGCCTTTTCCCCATAACCCTTGATTCCCCTTACTGATTTAGAATCTATCTATCTCAGTCTTGACAGCCCTTTGTGGTAAAGAATTCCACTGAGAAAAGAATCCTCTAGTCCTAGATTGCCCCACAAGGGAAAACAACTGTGTCACTGGATCAAAATCCTGGAATTCCCTGATAGCATTGTCGATGACGCCTTCCATCACTACTGATGATCGAGAGTAGACTGATGGAGTGGTAATTGGCTGGGTTGGATTTGTCCTGATTTTTATGTACACGACATACTTGGGCAATTTTCCACATTTTGTAACAAAATACATATGAATAAATAAGGCATAAGACATAGGAGCAGAAATTAGGCCATTCGGCCCATTCAATCATGGCTGATAAGTTCCTCAACCCCATTCTCCCGCTTTCTCCCCGTAACCCTTGATCCCCTTGATAATCAAGAACCGTTCTATCTCAGTCTTAAATGTACTCAATGACCTGGCCTTCACAGCCTTCTGTGGCAGGGAATTCCATAGATTCACCGCTCTCTGGCTGAAGGAGTTTCTCCTTATCTCCGTTCTAAAAGGTCTTCCCTTTACTCTAAGGCTGTGCTCTCGGGACCTAGTCTCTCCTACCAATGGAAGCATCTTCCCAACATCCACTCTGTCCAGGCCATTCAGTATTCCATAAATTTCAATTAGATCCCCCCTCATCCTTCTAAACTCCAATGAGTATAGCCCCAGAGTCCTCAAAAGTTCCTCACATGCTAAGTTTTCCATTCCTGGGACCATTCTCGTGAACCTCCTCTGAACCTGCTCCAGGGCCAGTACATCCCTCTTGAGATATGGTGTCCAAAACTGCCCACAATACTCCAAATGTGGCCTGACCAGGGCCTTATAAAGCCTCAGTAGTACATCCCTGCTTTTATATTCAAGTCCTCTCAAAATAAATACCAACATTGCATTTGCCTTCCTGACTACTGACTCAACCTGCAAGTTTACCTTGAGAGAATCCTGGACTAGAACTCCCAAGTCTCGTTGCACTTCAGACTTCTGAATTTTCTCCCCATTGAGAAAATAGTCCATGCTTTTATTCTTCTTACCAAAGTGCACGACCTCACACTTTCCCACGTTGTACTCCATCTGCCACTTCTTTGCCCACTCTCCTAACCTGTCCAGATCCTCCTGCAGCTTCAAATCAAATAAATCAATAAATCAAAGCAAATCAAATTCTTCCTCATCTCAGATCTAGACAGTCGTCCCTTCATTCTGAAGCTCTGCCCTCAGGTCCTTGTTTCTCCTTTATGTGGAATCATCTTCTCCATGTCCGCTGTATCCAGGCCTCTCAGTTTTTTTAAGTTTCAATCAGATACCCCTCAACCTATTAAACTCCATCGAGTACAGACCCAGAGTCCTCATCCACTCCTTATATGACAAGCCCTTCATACCTGGAATCATTCTTATGTACCACCTCTGAATCCCCTCCAATGACGACACATCGTTCCTTAGATCCGAGGCCCAAAACTGCCTACAGTATTCCAAATGTGGTCTGACCAGAGCCTTATACAGTCTCAGCAGTACATCTCTGCTTTTGTATTCTAGCCCTCTTGAAATGAATGCTAACATTACATTTGCCTTCCATATGCCAACTGAATCTGCATGTTAATTTTAAAAGAACCCTGTCCCTTTGTGTTTCAGATTTCCAAAGCCTTTTCCCATTTTGGAAATAGTCTAAGCCTCTATTCTTCCTACCTGCACAACCTCACACTTTCCCACATTGTAATCTATCTGCCACTTCTTTATCCACTCTTCTAGCCTGTTTAAGTCCTTCTGCATCCTCTCCACTTCCTCAACAGTACCTGTCCCTCCAACTATCTTTGTGTCATCTACACCTAAGCAACAATGCCCTCAGGTCGGTTGTCCAGATCGTGTGAATAGTTATGTGAATGGTTATGATCCCAACACCGACCCCCACAGAATTCCACTAGTCACCAACTACCATCCTGAAAAGGACCCTTTTATCCCCACACTCTGCCTTCTGCCAGTCAGCCAGTCCTCTATCTATGCCAATATCTTGCCCCTGATACCTCGGGCTCTTATTTCATTTAGCAATGTCCTGTGTGACATCTTATCAAAGACTTTTGGAAATCCAAATAGATCATGTCCACTGGCTCTAACTTGCTCGTTACTTCCTCAAAGAATTCTAACAGATTTGGCAGGCATGACTTCCTCTTGATAAAGTCTTGCTGACTCAGCCCTATTTTACCATGCACTTCCAAGTATTCCACAATCTTATCCTTAATAATGGACTCTAAAATCTTACCAATGGCTGAGGTCAGGCTAACCAGCCCATAGTTTCCTGTCTTCTGCCTCCCTCCCTACTTAAGCAGTGGTGTTACATTTAGCCATGTTCCAACCCTCTGGGATCCTCCCTGACTCCAGCGACTCCTGAAAGATCACACCAATGCCTCTACAATTTCCTTAGCTATCTCTTTCAGAGCTCTGGGGTGTAAGCCATCCGGTCCAGGTGATTTATCTTCAGCTTCCCCAACACCTTCTCCTTAGTGATGGCCACGTCACTCACCTCTGCCCCTGACTCTCTTGAAGTTTTTGTATGTTGCTGGTGTCTTCCATCATAATGACTGATGGGAAGTACCCAATTCAGTTCCTTTGTCATTTCTTTAATCCCCATTTCTAATTCTCCAGCATCATTTTCCAGTGGTGCAACATTCATACTTACCAACCTCTTTAAATATCTAAAAACAATCTTGCAATCTTCTTTCATATTATTAGCCAGCTTACTCTCATATTTCATCTTCTCCACCCCCTTATTGCTTATTTATTTGTCCTCTGCTTGTTTTTAAAGGTTTCCCAATCCTCTGGCTTCCCACTAATCTTTACCACATTGTCTGCTTCTTTTTTTGCTTTTATGCTGTTCCTGACTTCCCTTGTCAGCCATGGTTACCTCATCCTTCCCTTAGAATGTT